ACCTGCTCTAGGCTCGGTCCCAAACCGGAAGTCTCTGCGTTAGACATTTAAAGGTTCGATTTTAGCAAAGCCCAAATGTTTCAGTAGGAGAAGTGAGTCCTTTTCCTTCCTTCCCGACATTTCTGTTTTTGTTTTTCCTTCCGCAAGAATAAAGTAAGGACCCAACCTGAGATGGGGGATGTGCAACGGAAACAATCCCCAAAGAACAAAAAGGTGGGGGTCCAGCTTTGCTACAGTGAGATCTCCCTCAGGACAACAGTGCCATGGAAAGGTCCCCAGAGTGCCTTGCCTATGACAATTTGGTCCATGCAAAAATTCTACTTGATTTCCTTTGATTAAGTCTGCTGCTGGAGATTCAACCTTTCATATACGGGAATCTTCCCTTCCTCTATAAAATTAAAATCCTTTTAGCTAGGAGATCGTGCCACGTAATTACCTTACAAATGTTAAGTCCCAGTCCCTTCCTGCCACTCACATTTCCCATGCTCATGGCCTCCAGTACTGTGTGTCCCAGGGAGTCCTCATTCAGTGCAGGGAGAGATAGGTAGCTCTGTTCCTGTTACTGGCATCATGGGGACAGATGGGACATTTGGTGGATTGGCTGGGTGTTCTGGTCGTGACTGCCTCTTCCATGGAAATATGGGCAGGGGACAGCACATCCTTCAACGAGCAGCAGGCAGTGCTGGCCTCCAGCCCTGCTGGCTTCCAACACAGCAATATGGCTGGCAGGAGCCAGCTTTATTCCTAGCCAAGCCTTTCACCACATAGCTCCATGAATTCAGGATTTCTGGACTAAGGCTTCCCATCCCAGATCTCCCTCAATTCTCCTCGTCCAAAGCTCCCTGTTGCTAATTACGACACTAAATAATATACAGCTCACAGCTTTACACAAGTAAGACCAGCATCTAAGCTGTGAGTTGAACCAAGCACTGGTGTTCCTTGATATAAATTCTCAGATTCTGTCTTTAAAAAGAGAAGTCTGTTTGCCACCTTCCTCCTGAAGCTGTGTAGTAGTAACTATCCCCGATTCTCATGCTTTTGCGGAATGCCAGGGGAGGAGGGACTGTCAGACTGCTGCTAGTCTGTGCCTGCAGCTTACCAAGAGCAAGCTGACCTTGATTCAGGTTCTAAAATAAGAGCTATCCCCTTCAGTTCATTTGCATCCTCAAAGCACTAATTGCTGCTTAATTGGTAAGAAAAATAGGTAGTGGGATGTGAGAAGTGGAAGACCATGAATCTAAACGTTCTTTCATGCAAATTCACAGAAAAAGAAAGAAAGATGGAAAGATCCAGGCCTTCCCCTGGGAAAGGAATTTATAATTCAGCTGTCTTTATTCAGTACTCATTCTTGACAGCCTGGTGGATTCAGTTGTTGTCTGAATTGCATGTTTATAAAACCATTAACAAGTATTTATAATACAAATGGATGAAATTCCTTTTTTTAAAAAAGCTACTTGACTGCAGCTTGGGGTGCTATACATGGGAGAAGGGGAGAGGGATGAAGGAGGTCAGGGGGGAGCCAGGGCCGGGAGGAGGGAAGGGAGGGGAGACTGTGATTGGGTTGCAAAGTAAATAACTAAATGAAAGAATGAAAACAAACTAACTAAACCAGAGCCTGGCATCTGTTACTTTTTGGATCATTCTAGTCGTTTCCAATCAGTTTTTCAATGGCTCTGGCCCTAATGATCTAGCCCTTTTCTTTCTTCTCCCGGTAGCCTCTCTGTGCATCTCAGAGCCCCAGTGAAGAAAAGTCAAAGCAAGTGGGAGGGATTGAGGACTTTCTTGGTCAGGAAGCTGCTAGGGCAGAAGTTGTCAGGTAAA